GCATTAGTGGTTGCGAGAAGACACAAAAAGCCTTTCAGATGACCGTGACTCTCAGGGCGAGGTGGGAAAGACTGGGTTATTAGAGAGGACCGTTGTATTTATGGGCCTCTTATCTTTATGACAAAAACTCAAATGGGCATCTACATGCAATAAGAAAGAAAACAGCACCCGTAAAGATGTGGTTCTAGGGTGTGGAACTGGCAGCTGGACCCGCTGTTGTGGGGGAGTCCTTGCAACCCTGAGATTCTCTGTTAAGTTAGGGTCTGATGACACGGAGCTGAGAAACTGCTGAGAGCAATTCCCAGACCCATCTGGGTGAGCCCCACCCCTCCCTAACTCGGCCAGCCAAAGGTGGGCCTCTCGCCAGCACCAGAAGTACCACTCCTCCACACCAGTTCCCCACCCCGTCCCTGCGGGCAGCTCAAGGGGAGACCCAGGTCACCAGGACCTTTGGTGAGGTGGGATGCGCATGGGGTGAGCAGCACCAGGGGGAGCAGGAGAGGGCTTTCTTTGCGCTCTGACTTCCCAGGAGGAAAAATGCAGAACAGCTGGAAGGATAAAAAAACGGCCCCCAACACACAAAACCAAGCCAAACCAAAGCAAGAAAAAAGACCAGACACATAAATTGTGAAAAAAGGAATTCTGCTTCTATTTATTCAGCAATAACATTAATACCTGCAATACTTTCATCAGGATATAGAAAGAAAAACCAGGAGCACTGGAATAAAAGAAACAGGAGCCCCCCATGTAGTGTTCAAGTGGTCTGCGCCTCCTCCCCATCCCCAAACAGCTCAGCTGTGCTGCACCCTGGACAGGCAGGCACAAATCTATCGCCCAAGCACACAGCTCCTGACCGAAGACAGCCATTCTGGCTTCGGCTTGCATCCAGCTGCCATTTAATCTCTGAAGGGAGCCAGTCTTATGTGTAGCCCCTGACCCTGTTCACTGTGACAGCGAATGGGCGGCAGAGGCAGAAGTTGAAGCCCAACCCTGACTGCCTGATCGGAGCTCAGGCGACGGAAGAGATCTCATTGTGCTTCTGTTCTCTGCAGAAGAGAGTCCTGGGGGAAGGCCAGCAGCTGCCCTGGCTGCGGGAGTGACAGCAGAAAAGGACGGACAACAGCAGGGCCAGGGTGACGATGAGGCTGAGCACCCACTGGATGACGCCTGGGTAGATGACGGGCAGGATGAGGACGATGAGCAAGACCAGTAGCAGCAGGTGTGCCGCCAGGCGCCGGGCTGCCACGCGGTTGGCACTCACCGCGTCCTGCTCCTCCTCTTCTGCTAAGCTTGGCGACCCCACTGTCGAGGTGGCAGGACCCGCCAGCCCCAGAGGACAGAGCTGCACCTCCTGGCCTGGCCTGGCCAGCCGCCCCAGCACGGCCTCCTGGTCACGCAGGTTGCAGATGAGGCCCCCGGGCACGGTGGTGGCCTTGCGGCACAGCGGGCAGGTGACGGACCAGGTGCCGTCCTGCACGCACAGCATCAGCTTCAGGCAGACGGCACAGAAGGAGTGCTGGCAGCCCAGCAGCTTGGGCAGCCGGGCGCTGCCGTAGGGCTCCCGGCACACCAGGCATTCCAGGTCTCTGTCCACGGAGTTGCGATGGCCCCCCGCAGAGCCCACGGTGCTGGAGGTGGGGGCTCCTTTGGAGATGAACTGGGGCTGCTGCGGGAACTCAGGGCAGGCCATTCTGGGCACGGGAGCCCCTGGGATGTGGCAGCTCAGGGCCTGGGCATTGACGGGGACTGTCGACCTGTGTGGCTGGGACCTGGATGTGGCCTGACCTCAAGCGTCTCCAGCCTCCTCTTCCTTCTTGCCACCAGCCGTCTGGCACCACTCTCCTAGGGCTGCTCAGCTTGCTTCTTGGCTAACATTGTCCTTTCAGTTATTATTATTTCTTTCCTTGAAACCTAAGGTTAATCAGTAACTCCTGGGCCTGGAGACTTTGAATTGCCTGATAGGAGGGCCAAGGGGGCAGGGCCAGTGCGCGAATCAGGATTTTCCTGTTGGGGCCGGGTGCCCACAGGACCGTGGCTTCTGAGCTTTGGAGTGCAAACACCCATCCCCCCCCACCTCAGAAGCCTTTAAAAATGCAGATTTCTAGGTCCCAAACCCAGACACAGAGATTCAGCAAGGTCTGTGCGAGGTCTCGGAATCTGCACAGGTAACAGACATCATCGTGATTCTGACACAGGTGGACCAGGGGACCGTGCTTTGAGAAACATGCCATAGGCGGGTCTCAGACCAAACCTTCTGGATGTCAGGATCCGTAGGGGGAAAAGTTTATTTGTGCTTTAAGTACATTTGCAAGCAGGTGGCCTGGTGAAGCAGACAGAAGTGATGGAAAAAAAGCAGACAGAAGTGATGGAAAAAGTATTTTGAGTAGCAGGGGGAAAGAAAGCCCAGGCAAACACGGGGAAGCTCAAAGCGTCCACGGGTATTTAGCACCTGCTGCTGCCATCAGTTCCTTTATAGTCACAACAGTTGGATTAACCACGCCTGCTTCCCCAGCATCTCACTGCTACCCTGCTGTGCACTGCGCAGATCTAATGACAGGGGCCCTATGTTGTGTGCTGGGCACACCGCATACCCAGTAGTAATAAAAACAGTTCCCGTGTGTGTATCTGGGCCTGCTGGGAGCCGGGCCCCGTGACTGAGTCCTCACCTGCGTCTCCCTGCATCCCGGCCCAACCCTGGAAGGAAGGCACTGCCGAGGCCTGGCAGCAAAAGCAGGGTGTGGTCAGGGCAGGCCTGCTGGCTGCCTGCCAAGGGGCCTTCTGTGGAGGCAGGACCCGTAGAATCTACCAGCGTCCAAGGTCGGGTCCCAGCCCCATGAGTCCAGAAGCTCAACCTCGTCAGTTGGCGTGAGGGAACTGGCCTTCGGGCAGCTGACTCAAGCTAACAGCACTCATGTGGGATGGACAGACAGATGCAGCATGGTGGTTAAGAAAATGTGATTCCCCACCAGTGAGAATGGCCATCATTAAAAAGTCTACAAATAATAAACACTGGAGAGGGTGGGAGAAAAAGGAACCTTCTACGCCGTTGGTGGGAATATAAATTGGTGCTAGCCACTATGGAAAACAATCGGGAGATTCCTTAAAAAACTAAGGATAGACTTACCCTATGATCCATCAACCCCACTCCTGGGCATATATCTGGAGAAAACTACAATCTGAAAAGACAGATGCACCCCAATATTCATAGCAGCAATATTTACAATAGCCAACACGTGGAACCAATCTAAATGCCCATCAATGACTGGATAAAGAAGATGTGGTGTGTATACACACACACACACAATGGAATACTACTCGGCCATAGAAAAAAATGAAACAGTGCCATTTGCAGCAACATGGATGGACCTAGAGATGATCATACCAAGTGAAGTAAGTCAGACAGAAAGACAGATACCATATGATATCACTTAATATGTGGGATCTTAAAAAAGATGATACAAATTCTATTTACAAACCAAAAATAGACTCATGGACATAGAAAACAAACTATAGTTACCAAAGGGGAATGGTGGGGAGGGATATATTAGAAGTTTGGGATAATAGATACACGTTACTATATATAAAGTAGATAAACAGCAAGGACCTACTATATAGCACGGGGAACTGTATTCAATTTCTTATAACAACATGTAATGGAAAATAATCTGAAAAAAAAGTATGTATATGTATAAATGAATTGCTTTGTTATACACCTGAAACTAACATTGTAAATCAACTACACCTTAACAACAAATAAAAAGAGAAAAGAAAAGAAAATGGGACTCTCTCACCTTGTCCTGAATGTGAGAGGGTGGGGTGGCACAACTCACTTCCTCGAAATAATGCCAAGGCCGCGCCGAATCTGGAAGGATGCCATGCTATCCTTTGCTGCTCCTGTTACCTGCTGAGGTCCCCAAAATCTAGCTCTTCTGATTCAGCCCCTTCCCCTACTCCAAGGGATAGGCTTTGTTCTCTCACTTCACCTGCGCACCTGGGCCCTCTGTTTCTGAATCTAGTTCCCCACCCTCCACCCTCGCCACCACATCTCTTCTCCTCTTTAGCCTTCAGCTTGACAATCAATTATTTCTTTCCATTGTTTTTCCCTCAGATCAAGCTGAAGGAGGCCTCAGATTTTGCACTGGGCATGTTTTCTCCCCATGCCCAGCATCCATTTCTCTTTTGACAGCTACCTGTTTTCCTCTTAGTTGACTACTGCTCGCTACTGTCATTCTGTGTGGTTCCCAGCTCCATGGAAAGGGAGAGGCGATGTGATTCAGGACAGACCCATCAGTGTATTCCACCCCGCTGGCTGTAAGAACTGGTTCACACATGGATTATGTGATCTAAGCCAAACCAATGAGATTCAACTCTGGGACTTCTGTTGCAACTACTGACAGGTTTCTCTACCTACTGTGTTTCCAGGCTAGAGGATGGAATCCTTGCACTGCCAAGACCACAATGTGTAGCACAAAAGGAAGACGAGAAAAGAGTCAGAAAAAGCTCCAATGACACTGAATGCCTGGATCCAGCTATACCTGAAGCCAGTACTCTTCAGATTTTTTTTTTGGGTTATAACAACCTGTGAAAATCCACCACAATTTTTATTTTTAAGCCAGCTTGAGTTGGATTTTTGTCCATCTCAAGGGAAAGACATCTGTGTAACACAGCAATAGATGAATAGGGGAAATCCATGGGAAGTTATTTGGGGTTAGTGTCTAAAGAATAACCATTTGATGTTGTTGGGCAAAAACCATTAGGAAAATACATATTGGTTATAACAACCCAAATCTTACAGAAATATGTAAAGTAAAACGTGAAAGTTCCTTTGAAAAAGTTCCATTTCCTGAGAAATGATTGCGTTTAACAGAGTGTTCCTTTGTGTTGCCTGCATCCTACCATCTTGGCTGGGGAACTACTTTGTTTCCTAAAGGTGCTTTGGTTTAACCATTGTCTGCACTGGCTTTGTAGTTTAGACATCCAACTTCTGTTACTTTACTAGCTGTGTGACCTTAGGCAAGTCTTTTCAACTTCACTGAAGTTTGCTCTTCAGTTTGGTAAAATGGAGACAATAATACTATAGGAAATCGTGGGCGACTACTTCAGCCCCTCGCCTCCATCAAACCTTGCTCAGAGGAGACAGTAGTTTATACGCCATGCTATGTAATTGATCTCAGTGTAATTGACCTCACCTGGGGACACAGAGATAAGACACTTGGAACACTTTGGTGATCTGTTTAGCTAGTGCTTCTTAAAGAGAAGTGAATGTGGGCTGAATCTGGTGCAAAGCCTGAAGCAGATGTATCCCAGTGGAAGAAAAAAAGGTCTCTGGAGCTTAAAATGTTAAATTTATCTAGGTTTCTCATTCTACACTATGTTATATTGGTGCTTGTGGTGATTTTAGGATTCAGAAACTTTATCTTTCGAAATCTTCAAAAAATATATTAATTACTATACAAATGTGAGCTTGTTCATTCCCAGTAAACTTTTTTTTCCCCTTTTGAAATGCAATGTCTTCTGTCCTGTGCTTAACACAGTCCCGGGGTTGTAAGGAGTTTGAGAAGCAGAGTGTCAGTGAGGCTAGAATTTCACAGCCTGCTGCAGGTGGGGAAACCACAGCCAGGTCTCTTGATGGACCATCTCGGAAATCCCACCGTGCAGGTAACCACAGACCCATGCCTTATAGAGACATTTCTGATCTGAGCTTTAGGTTCTGCATAGGTTCACTGGGAAAGGAGTGAGAGAGCAATGATGTCATGAGGTCAAACTGTCTGATCCCTGCCTGGTCCCTGATCTTGGCCAGCCCATCCTTACTCCACACCCTAGTGGCCCCAGAGAGCCGTGTCCCAGCCAAACACCCCATCAGCCCTGGCCCCCCCTCCCAGGCTGCCTGGTGTTTTAGCTCACTCTTAGTCCAGAATTTCTGCCTCTGTGCTCCTTGGAACCCAACTGGCTATGCCTCCACCCCTCTCAAAGGGTCTATGTGTCTGCAGGTGGATAGTGGGGGAGATAGAGGACCTGGATTTGAAACCAAAATAACAGTAACAGGATAATGAAGATCAAGTTCGAGAGAGAGAAATCATGCAAGAGAGAAAGTGAGCCCCAGAACCCCAGATGCAGGAGGTTGGAAATTGCACTTCCCAGGCTCGGATTTCTAAAAATAATGATGTAAAAAAACCCTGTTTATTATTAAAAAAAAATAAAGGAGTTATTTACTTTACTGATGAACATAAAGAAAATGATGTCAGTAATCAGTAATTTCTCAGCCCACAGAGAACCAGTTTTAATTTTGGATATCTCTCTTTAGACTTCTCTCTGTGCATAGTTACATAAAAATGTTTTTTTTTCCCATTAAAATGGGATCTTGCAACAACAAGTTGATACTGTATAGCACAGGGAACTATATTCAATATCTAGTAACTTAGGGTGAAAAAGAATATGAAAACCAATATATGTATGTTCATGTAAGACTGAAGCATTGTGCTGTGCACCAGAAATTGACACAGCATTATAAACTGACTATACTTCAATAAAAACAAATACATACAAAAGAAAGCAAACACCCTCTATATTCTAGTAATCTGTATTTTTAATGAATAGTTTATCATACATCTTTTTCCATATTAATTGATACACTTTGAATCCTTTGTGAAGGCTGTATTGTATTCTGTACTATTAATGTTTTATATTTTAGTTAATCAATTCCCATTAGTGGAATATTTAGGTTGTTTTCATTTTCTACCGTTATTGACAGTCCTATGATGAGCTTCCTGGGACGTGCACTTTTTATATCTGGCCCTTTCAAATTTGCAACATGTATGATACTTTCTCGATCTGCCTTTTTGCCCGAGGAGCATCTGCTG